GAAAGCCAATACCAGAAAGAAAACAATTATTTATTGCTATTTGGTTTATGGCTACTCCTGATTCTTACAGGTATGTACAATGGAGGTCACTGATTCGTTCCCTGAGGGTAAGGGGGGTACCTAGAAAGTTTAATTTAAAACCAATTTCACCAATTTTTTGTCTTTTTTCAGATACGTTCTTTAAAAAGAGACAAAGATATAATTTAACCGGAGGTTAAAGTTAACCGAGGTTGGTGAAATTAGCTCTTAGGCCCGTTTCTACCAACGTCGATTAAATTAAACTTCTGGTTAAAATATATCTTTGTCTCTTTTTAAGAACTAGTGCACTCCCCTTACCTCAAAGAACGAATTAATGACTAGCAATGTACAGTATTTTTTTGGAACGCAACCTTAATCTATATGATACATCATTATTTTAGATCTGTAGCGACAAAATTTGGAGTAGGCAAAGCTTTTCGAGCATTGAGGCGTGTAACATATGCTCTCCATTGTGTTGCACCTCAATTATTAAATGGCCGAGAGATGAGATTGCCGTTAGTGTAATGGAACGATTTAAACGATCATGCGGCTTCCCAAATGTTATCGGAGCGATTGATGGGACTCATATTAAAATCCGAGCTCCTCCTAAAGATGCTCAATCGTATATTAATCGAAAAGGTTTCCATTCCATTAACGTGCAAGTAATATGTGATTCTCTTGGTCGTTTTACACATGTATATGCTGGACAAGTTGGATCAGTCCACGACTCTCGAGTTTTTCGAAACTCGCCAGTAGCCCGTTTTGTTCGATTGCCCGAAGAATATTTCCCAATGATTCACATATCATCGGAGATGCTGCATACCCATTCAACCTCACATAATGGTGCCTTTTCGAAATAATGGATATTTGACAGATCGGCAAAAAACGTTAATATTGTTTGTCGTCCACGAGAATGGCAATTGAGCGTGCTATAGGGTCCCTAAAAAGGTTTTTAGGATACTTTGACTGTTTGCCATTAACAGACATAAAAAAGTTCCAGAATTTATCCTAGCATGCTGTGTGTTACACAATATTTGCATTTTACAAAATGATGAAATGCCCATGGGTATACAATAAATCTTGATGAAGACAACCTTGTTAATACACACCACGATGAGAATTAGAAACAGAAACGATTACAATTATAATGCGCTACATGAGATTATAATTATTAATAAAAAAAATAATAAAGAAAAGAAATAAAAATAAAAAATAAAAAACAATTAAAAAAAAAAATAAAAAATAAAAACAATTAGAAATAAATAATAAAAATAAATTAGAAAAAAAAAATTAGAAAATAAAAAATAATTAGAAATAAAAAAATTAGAAAATAATAATAAAATTTTTTACAAAAAAAAACTCCCGACTGCTGCCAACAAGTTTTAATGTTTAAATTAAAAAATAATGTTTAAATTAGAAAATAAATAAAAAAAAATAATAAAAAAATTAGAAAATAAAAATAAAAAATAAAAAACAATTAGAAATAAATAAAAATAAAAAACAAAACAAAAATTAAAAAAATAAAAGAACAAAAAAATATAAGTATAAAAAATAAGCTTGTAAAAGTTGGAAATAATCACACATAAATAAAGTCTGTTGTTTATTATATAATTTTTCTTATTTAAATTTATGTTATCATACATATTTAGCGCTATATAATTTACAAAAATTTCAGATTTTTGAATTCAAAAATTTTTTTAATTATAATTATTATTATTAATTCTACAATTTACAAGAGCAGTCGGGAGACGCCGCGCGTCTAAAAACTGTAACGTCCGTTGAGTATCGATATTTGTGTTTGTGTCTATTATTACATAAACGTGCGCGTGCGTATATGTCTCAATTTAGCGCGGCGTCTCCCGACTGCTCTTGTAAATTGTAGAATTAATAATAATATTATAATTAAAAAATTTTTTGAATCAAAAATCTGAATTTTTTGATTATTCAAAAAATTATCATATAATTATGTAATTGATAAATAACGAAAATAATATTAAAAATAAAATTTATTCAAAATTTTTTTATATAGCGCTAAATATGTATGATAACAATAAATTTAAATAAGAAAAATTATTAATAAACACAGACTTTATTTATGTGTGATTATTTCCAACTTTACAAGCTTATTTTTATACTTATAATTTTTTTGTTTTTTATTATTTTTAATTTTTGTTTTGTTTTTTTATTTTTATTTATTTCTAATTGTTTTTTATTTTTTATTTTTTATTTTCTAATTTTTTTATTATTTTTTTATTTATTTTCTAATTTAAACATTATTTTTTAATTTAAACATTAAAACTTTGTTGGCAGCAGTCGGGAGTTTTTTTTTTGTAAAAATTTTATTATTATTTTCTAATTTTTTTATTTTCTAATTTATTTTTTATTTTCTAATTTTTTTTTTCTAATTTATTTTTATTATTTATTTTCTAATTGTTTTTTATTTTTATTTTTTTTTTAATTGTTTTTTATTTTTTATTTTTATTTTCTAATTTTTTTATTATTTTTTTTTTATTTATTTTCTAATTTATTGCTGTTCTTATGCTGTTTCTTCATTCTTTTGTCTCTCTGCTTCTTCATCCTACACATGTAAAAGTTTTTATTATGTAATATATATTACAATGTATATAATATAATAATAATAATAATAAAGACACACATACACTCACCATGTGACTGCAATGTTCTATATTCTTTCCAAATATTTTTCTGCTACAATTTTTTTAATTAATATAATATAATATAATAGAGAGATAAATAAAAAAAAATAGCTAGATAGATAGATTGATAGATAGAGAGAGACAGATGACAAAGACAGATGACAACAATATCTTATATCAAATACGTAAACTTGTACGCAGTTATAATTATGGCTTTGACAAATATATTAACTTTCTTATGGCTATATAAGTTTATACATTATGTAATCACAAGTAAGTTTATATATTTGTATAGCCTTAATTATTATTACATATGTGAATAATCTTTTGTAGTAGATAATTGGCTATGTAAGTTAATATTTTGTCTGCATTGCCATAATTATTGGTGCGCTAATATCTTTGTATAACTATAAATATATTTGTATACATATTTTTAATTAATTATATAATTATTATATAATATACAAATAAGAGAAAAAATAACTATATACATTTATACAATTATATATGTGGATATTTATAGCAATGTGGCTACGTAGCAAATTTAATAGCAAATAAGTGGCTACGCAGACAAATATAAATTCATATAGCCATGTTATGACTACAACAGATTAATTATATTATTAATTATATTATATATTTTTATTAATTATTAATAACAAGACTTACTCGTTTTCTATTATTAATAATGTTTTCTTCTTCAGATATCTTCAAGCGAGTATCTTCTTCCTACATATAAAAAGAAACAATAAATAAATAATAATAACAATATTCTAAATAAAGAAAAAAACATAAATATAAAAGAAGAAACTTACTCCTTTATTTATATCTTCTTGAGATATATCCATAATAATACACTTCACTTAATATTGTTGTTGACAATAACACGCAACAGGTGACAGCTAACCTATCCTATCAGTCCCGTCATTATTACTTCGAGATGTATATACCAATGTCACCAACATTCCCTATCCGGATACTACAACGAATCTCATTGGTGAATCATTTTTCCTCTTAGGTTCACACAGCAGCCAATGAGAGACCGTATTGACGAAATAATACTCATTTTTCACTTTTTATTAATAGAATAAATAACGATAATAATACGCTTTAAACCTTCCTTGATTAATAAGAAACTTATGTTCCAAAGTTGATATAAAACTATGCAGTAGTTATCGAGAATTAAGGTCACGACCGATCCGGGCTCGATGAAACGCATACTTCCTCTCTTTTCGCCAACCTACGGTTGGCAGCAGTCGGGAGAAAAAATATATAAGTATAAAAATACTTTATTCTTTTTTAGAATTGTACATCTGAAATCGGGATGCACCCGTTAAAATAATAACATATTTCGTACAATTTAACACATAAAAACTGTAGTATGCTCTCTCTCCCTCTCTGTGCACGCGCGCGCGTGCATGGGAGAGATCTTATCTTTGGTTCTTTCGGTGGACATACGAGGTAATGGGTCTTTTTTTGTTCCTGAACTGCTGCACTAGTTTAGAGGTTGTCCTTTTCTTATCAGTGTCGAGCAAAAGACAACCTCTGAACTAGTGCAGCAGTTCAGGAACAAAAAACAGACCCAATAATTAAACTAATAAACTATAAACTATTAAACTAATAAGCTTATAACTAAAAAATCACCGTGGTAATATAACGAATTTAATAACTTTTTATTTCAGTCTTCTCAAAAGCGTACAATTCTCGTCCACTAAGTACATAGCGTTATTCCTTACCAAAAATAAGTTGAAAAGTCCTAAAGAATTTTTACACTTAATGAACTAGTAATTATTGAGTAAAGTACGATCAAACAGCGCCGGGTTTATAAAATTATTAAAAATTATTCAAATTATTATTTTATTTAAAATTATTCAGGACTTTTCAACTTATTTTTGATAAGAAATAACGCTATCTATTTAGTGGGCGAGAATTAATAAGTAATACCCTGTGCATTTAAATATGACTCTATCAGGCACATTTTTCGCGCATCTTAATCCAGCCTCGCCCAGGTTGGTTTGCGTATTTCTTATATATAATGGAAAAAAATTTAATCATTCTGCTGATTAAATTGCACCCTTAATATCACAGTGTATTGCACTAACGTTAATCGTTTCGATTAACTTACTTTTTATTTGCAAAATTCTGCAGGACGGCAAGTAGTGATTTCTGTACCTCCATGTTATCTTGATGCATTTTTTCACGCTCTCTCTTCTTTTCTTCATATTTTGCTTCTCTAATTTCTTCTTTTTTCTTTCTTTCTTCATCTCGCTCTTTTTTTGTAGTCTCCCTTTCTTGCTTTATATTATCAATATAATTTTTAGAATATTCTCAACTCGTCTTTTTTTAGGCGCACCTGCAATATTAATACAAATGTTTACAAGATTATGTATAATGCGGGGTCTACAATGGTAGTAAGAGTACGAGTACAAGAGTAAAGCAGTAAGCAGTACGAAGTGGGATTCGCTCATTTCGTCGGGAGTAACGAAATGAACAAATCCCATTTCGTACTTCTTACTGCTTATTCTTGTACTCTGTACTCTTGCTGTTATTGTAGACCATGCATAACACTGAAAATGCCTTCAGTCGTGGGCTGCTTTGGCGACAGAATCAAAATGATCTAGATTAAAATAATCCATGTACTGTGATTGGTCAAATCTGAAATTTCATTATAACAATCAATGAAATTTCAGATTTCAATCACGGATTGACACGCACGGATTATTTTAATCTGATTGTGAATCATTTTGGTTCTGTCGCCAAAGCAACTATGGTTTATTAATTATGTTATTACTTCGTAAATCCTCTGAGAAACTCGCTGGAGATAAAGATCCTGATGTAGATAGTATCGGTTGTGATGGACCTTCGCTGGACGCTTCAGCTGGAGGTTGTATATATGCCTTTTCACCAAGTAATGAATCCATTACCTACAAATACAAAATCAGTTTTGTAAGTCTATACATTCAATATTATATTATTATACTTGCAAACACATATGCATATACTTACTGAATAAAAAGCCCAACTACTGTGGGAGTTACCACTTTTTTTATTCTGCTCATATATATTTTTATATGTCCGTTTGAGGCCAGCAAATTTTGTTGAGCATTGAAGACCAGTAACTATATACTTTTTGTCAGTTTCTTTTTATTTGGGCAGCAATCTCTCCCCAAATGATATTGTGTCTTTTCATGCCGGTATTAAATTCTTGCTCTCTTTCTCTATATAATTCAACAAGCAAAAGTACTGCAGCGTCAGGCCACACAAAAGATTTTGAATTGGATTCATCTAAAATTTTATTCAAGTCATAAAGTAAATTTTATTACAAAATCTATACTGTTTAACAAAATTATAGGAAAATAAATGAGCTCTTGAGCCAATCGCTGTTATTGTAGCGTGTTTAATTAATCTTTATTTAAAAGAACACCGTAAAACGTTTCAGCCCTGATTGGGCCCTCTTCAGTTACATTAATTAATATTGTCATGCTTTGTAAATTTTAAATAATTATGTCCTGTACGCCATATGTATATAATTTATCGATTCTTTGTTTGATCATTGTTATTTCAATGCCTTGCTGTTCATCTGACGCTCAGAGACGTTCTGTTTCTGTCGTGTCTCCTTTGGATGCCATCCAACAGAAACAGAAGGTCTCTGAGCGTCAGATGAACAGCAAGGCATTGAAATAACAATGATCAAACAAAGGATCGATAAATTATATACATATGGCGTACAGGACATAATTATTTAAAATTTACAAAGCATGACAATATTAATTAATGTAACTGAAGAGGGCCCAATCAGGGCTGAAACGTTTTACGGTGTTCTTTTAAATAAAGATTAATTAAATTCTACTTATTACTGTTTTAACAAAATGTTTAAATTATAAAAAATTACCAGGTTCTTCAGTGGTGTTAATTTCAGGCACACACAATACATCTTTATTTCCATTATTAAGTCCCTCAGTATTACATTTATTTTCTTTCCATTTAATAAAGATATCTTGCAAAAACTGTGGATCTGTAAAATTATATACTTTCATTACTTTTAGGTTATAGAATTATATTTTATAAGTATATACTGATTGTACATAATTTAATACCTTGATTTGCCTTTGCAGCAGTTTCTTGATCCAGTATAAGAGTAAAAACTTCATTATTTTCATCAATGACTGGGACTTCGACCAATGCCATTGTGCACACTTGAATAAAAAAGGCGCCTTTTCTGTTGATGCATCAACTCCGCATCAAACGCTTCACGCCCGAGCTGCGGTAGCTGATGCACGTTGATGCGCGAGAAGTGGTGGGGATATAGGGAATTCTGTGCGCTATCAATGCGCGCATTGAGTGAAACGGAACGGTTCTTTATGCAGTCTATGCGCATTATGCGTGAAACGGAACGCACCCTTAGACAATGTGAGAAGTACAGATGACGCATGTTATAATGAAGAATCAGTCATATTATTTAAAGATGCCGTGGAAGAACAATTAAATACAGTAGAATCATTTTTCACAGTTGAAAACGAAAACAAATCCCCTACGATAAACCATTAATGGCTCAACATTGTTCACCATGTTTGGCCGCGTATAGTTATCCTTTATCGAATCGAAGTTATCATTCCATAATATTCCCATTGATAGGCCAGTTATGGTTGCTATTATCGCGCCAATATAAGTAACCTGGTAACCAATTTTTGACCAGTATTAGACCAATTGTAAATCCTATAATGTATAATAGATAATCTTTGATAGTTAGTCAATTAATGAAAAGTGAATACTTAAATAGGATATTATAAATGTAGATTATTTTATATTAAAATTTTATGTTTATAATTAACGATAGGTTAATTATAACATACTGTAGGAATCTTCTCATTAGAACACGTTGTTATACAGATCAGAACGGCGGAGAGAGACTAAGTGCGTGCTTTTTGGCGCGTACGCACATTAAACAAACTAAAAACATAGAATATAACTAGTGACGCAGTGATGAGAGTGTACACTCGCGCGTAGTTCCGCGGAGACTTTTTCACTAGAGGACAGAGCCAATCACCGCTTCAGAATTAAATTTAAAATAAATTAACGCGTCTTATAAATAAAATCTTACATAACAATAGGCCCAAAATTTAGTGATATAAATACATATTATTCTATTTAGATAAATTTTATTTGAAGTTTGAATTAATATTTCAAAACGATAGGCGAATGTCTAAATATAGATAGTGTTACATATATTAGTATATTGTAAAAAGCGGATAAATACGATGTCGACGATTTATGCATGTCTAAACATTATTGTTATAATAAATGTATATGAGTGAGTTGGATTAGAGATGAGCAGATGGTTCGCGAACCGTTCAGTTGAATCGGTTCACATCAATGAGCGCTCGGAAACGGGTCTATAGAAAAAGAATCGCGATTCCTTGGTTCAGTAGTAGTAGTGCACTCTACCGGAATTTTCGGTAATTCGATTCTATAGGTTTCTCTCTAAGTCCACAGAAACGCATTGAAGTTACGCATAACTATGGTGTCTGGTGTCCCTAAGACACTACATGTGTCGAGAGACGACACGATAGCCAATCAAATTGCCGCATTTTCATAAAAAACTTCCGCGCGTCAAAATTGATCCAATTTTTTATTGGCTATCGCGTCGCCTCTTGCCGTGCGTAACGCGTCGACGCGTCTTATATGCATAAGTCCATACGCTGGACCTATCCTGAACTGAGGGGATGATTCCCGCCCATTTCTTATATCGTTCTCTTAAATCAGTTCAGAACTATTCAGAACAGTTTTCCGCTCTCTTTTCTGGCATTTTATTTTGATTTTGACTCGACAACTCACTAGTTTCATCCACTGAATAACAACTGTTTGTTTGTTCTTTTACATCTAAATCAAGTATATAATAAGTAATATAATAATATAAGTATGCAACTGGCAATTTTAGGTTAGAATTATAATTTGCACCATTATATCTATGTATATTTTTCTAAAATTTTAGTATAAATTCTAAAAGATATTAGTTTTATGATAATTATAATATTAATCAATGATGTTTTATTTTCTAATAAATTTTTTTAGATTAAAATGTCTTTGCCTCGAGGCACTAGCAATATTTGGTATCATTTTGCTAAACAGATGGAAAAGGACGATGTCGTTATGTTATATGACGATATCGATGCCTGAGGATCATCTACTGGAATCTCAAGAGGCATTTGAAAAATAAGCATCCCGCTGTACTATTCTTACGAGAAGATTCATATGATTCAGCAGATTGTCGTTCGCGATCTCCTTCGGTTTCAACTGGATCTAGTAAAAATTCCGAAATACAAACGATTATTTCCCAGCCATATTCATCTAATCCTAGACCTCGCAGC